ATAAAATGACCTGTGAGAAAGGGTAAGGGTGTACGTAGGTTGTTGGAAAATACACACGACATACATATAATTATATAATCAATAAATACATACATACTATAATAAATAAGTACATTTTAAATACAAAAATATAGACCTACATATACGAGAGTAGAAAGGATTAAACAAGTAAGTGAAGTCAAAGCCTAAACGTAAGAAAAATGAGTAGGTAGTAAATTTTTAGAGGAATGACTATTTAAGGAGGAAAGAAGTGCGCTTTGACAAGTTTTTTAAACTTATCAATAGACTGAGCACTTCTAATGTGCAGCGGTAGGGAGTTCTAGAGCATAACATATTTAACAGAAAAGGATTTAGAATAGAAAGAAGTGTTATGAGATGGAATTTCAGGGTGAGGTTTTTATCAGAGCAAAGAGAGCGACAGTGAGCGTCACCAAGAAACTCAAACCGCTCTTTAAGGTATGTAGGGGAAGTAGGATTGAATAGTATACATTATTAAAGAGAAAGAATGCGAGTATTCCTGCGAAGACGGATCTGAAGCCACTTGAGTTTTTCGCGATATTCGGAGACATTGTCATATTTTCGAAGTCCTAATATGAACCGTATGCAAAGATTCTGAATGCGCTCAAGTTTAATAAGCAACTCCTCATTTAAATTGAGATAACACGTGTCAGCATAATCAAGAATCGGTAAAAGAAGTGATTATGCAAGCTTCGCCTCGCTTACCTGCGGATCCCAAGATAAAAATTTGTCAAATGTAACACCTAGATTTTTAACGGTGTCACTATATGGCACAGGTGTCTCATTAAAAAACAATACCAGGTAGGGAAGAAAAATCTATAAGATTAACCAATTTTTGACTGCCTATATTTAAGACCGTATGACTTACTCCAATCTACAATTAAGTCAAGATCTTTGTTTAATAAGTCTATAGTATTGGGTAAATCCATCAATTTGGCATTCACATATACTTGGAGATCATCTGCATACAGGTGGTAGCGAGAAGATAATTGGAGCGTGATCGAAGTAATGAAGATTGGAAAGAGGAGAAGAGACAACACGCCACCTTGCGTTACACCGGCATTAATCGTACACCAGTTAGAGAACGAGTCGTCTACACGTGTCCATTGCCGGCGACCAAACAAGTAACTATGAAACTAGTCAATCACTTCAGGAGATATGGTAAGAGAAGCTAAGATAGCTAACAATAGATCAAAATCCACATTGTTAAATGCATTACTAAAGTCAAGTATGGTCAAAACTGCTACGTGCTGTTTATCCATACTGAGACGAATATCCTCTGTAATCTTGACTAAGGCTGTAGTCGTACTATGACCAACACGGAAAGCGGATTGGAAAGAATTTAAAAGACTCCACCTACATAAGTAGATGCTCAATTGTCGATGAACTATACGCTCAAAAACTTTTGATGGCGAGGAATTATGGATATTGGACAGTAGTCAGAGAAACCGGAGGGATTTGCATTTTTAGGTATAGGAGTAATAGGGGCTTCCTTCCAGGAAGAGGGAAAATTTCCGGACGAAATGGAATAATTAAAGATGGATTTTATAACAGAAGTCAAGATATCGACAATAGGGATAATCATTTTACGACTAATGCAGTCTGTACTAATGGCATCAGAATTGATCTCAATGCTTTTCTTAACATCACTATCAGTGATTTGACTAAAAATAAACACAAGATTGTCAGATTTGGGTAAAGCTGAAATTTGAGTTTTAGTTTGTATTTTTGTGACATCATCTATGACACAAGAAGAAGAGAAATGCTGATTTAGCTGGTTTAAGTCAATATTTTGGGGCTACCATTTTGACTCACTATCCCAACTCCAAGAGACTTAAGAAATTTCCATACTCTGCCGGAATCATCTTCATCGAGTATAGATTTATGATCTCTTACATTTACTGAGTTACCACACATTGAACAAAACTAATTTTACAGATTTTTATACTTCAGTTAATTAGTTTCATTCAAGTAATTAATATTTCTTTCCTTATAAATGTTGTTTTTATCTGTGTAATGGCGGTTAACCGTGTAGTGGCCATGTAAGAGTACTCACTTCCTCATAGGTTCGTAGGTGGGTGTCGTAGAGGCGACAAAGGGAAACTGAAATAAATGAGAAGGGCAGTAGCATCTTCCATATAACAACTCGAAATTGTAAAAAAAAAACTGTAGTTACCAACCCTTCTGCGTATTGAGTGTCTATATTAATAATAATTAATCTATACGTAATGATATATGCTGGTTTTTATAATTATAAATTTATATAGCGTCAGTAGCCTAATGGCAGGGCGCGGACCGCGAACTCGACAGGTCGTGGGTTCGAATCCGCCATTCGACTACTGTCGTGAACCACTTCTAGCACAAGCATTTTAAGCTTACCAGAAGTGGTTAAAGGAAATATTAGTAATGTTTAATAACATTACTTATTTAAAAAAATTATCGATGTTTATTTTTTATGTGAAGGTACAGGAGATTAAACGTGGTAGAGCCATGCTGCAGCTATATTAGTAGTATAGTTGTAGCACGAATGCGTCGGCTCGACCGGGTAAGGACCATGCTCTTACAGAATACCAGCGTAAAATAGTAGCTTAATGCTGCTGTGTTTCGTATGGTGAGTGTAGAGAACCGGAAATCCTTTTACTGGAAACAAGGCATTCCATCTTAGTCCTCACGGGTGATAACGCAACTGCATTTTGTTTGATGTCGATGTCTATGAGCCACAGCAATCACTTACCATCAAGTGGACTGTGTGCTCGTTTGTCACACTATTCCTATAGAATAAAACTCGTTCCAACATTAAATCAAGATACTTGATTTTGCCTGCAAGACGCCGATATAATAAATATAAATTGTTGTCTACTATAATAAAAATTACGTGAAATGGCGTCAATTCAGAATGGTATACTACCAAATGCTTGACAAAAGTGTTTACTGCTGTGAGCAACAAGCGACAGCACACAGGGCTCCAATTTTATGGATTACTGCTTCATGGTAGCAATGTACTTGCGCTCTCAACGCGAGTCCACTCAGGAAGAGAGACTTTCTGCTCACCGGTTAAGCTTTTGGGTCAGCCTCTTTACTTAGTTAGCCCTGATTTGCCATGGCGTGATTTTATTTTAACTCTAAAATAAAAAAGGTAGAGAGGTACACCGTTTTCACCAGTGAAAGATGCGTTGGCAGCGTCCGAGCAGTCCGTAGAAGGTTTAGATTAAAAAAGTGTTTTGAAATTTGGTTTAAATGTTGATGAGACTTCTTTTGGTCGTGGTAGAGCCATGCTGCAGCTATATTAATTGTATAGTTGTAGGGCGAATGGGTCGGCTCAATCGGGGAAGGACCATGCTCTCACAGAATTCCAACGTAAAATAGCAGCTTAATGTTGCTGTGTTTCGAATTATTAGTGTAGAGAACCGGGGATCCTTTTTACTGGAAATGAGGCATTCTATCTTAGTCCTCACGGGCGACAACACATCAGCCAGCAGAATAGATATAAATGTCTATGGGCCATAGCAACTACTTACCATCAGGTGGACTTACCTATAAAAAAAAAAACCTTATCACATAAAAAAATTGTATCGAAAAATTTTCTGAGTGGATCATGTGTCTTGATCTAATTAATGTGAATTATTTATTTTCATTAATTATTTATAACCATCGAATGCCACAGATACAATAAATGTATTTTTTTAAATTGAATAGATAATGGACTCGAGTTCATTGCAAGCCCGGGCGGATCAATCTAAATAGTTTTGAATGGATTGTCTATCACATATACCTATCTTCAAATGTCTAATAGACAGACGATAAAAAAGCATTATAAGGGAGTAAGTTAGGTGAAGAAAGACAATGATCTACTGGAAGGCATCTGCAATAAGCTGGTGATGCAATGATAATGATGTACATATTGTATTCCGGGGTGAAATTTACAGAGAGCTAATAAAATTAAAGGATGTTTGGCATTCCATCTTAGTCCGCAGAGATGTTTCATCTGTTCCTTCCGCATCTTCCGCATCTTTGTTGTTCAATTTTTGTATGCAACTTCGCAGTTAGAGCTCTTAGTAATTCTAGGGAAACTACTTTGGATTCCAATTTTAGAAGATATTTTTGCAAAATAAGAGTTACTTTTTCACGTCTATACTGTACCCGCGTCGAATTGTAAGTGATTCCATCGCGTACGGGAAATTGAGGAAGCTCAGTCAATCATTCTTAATTTCCTTTTCAGTCACGCTGATCATTATATTAAAAACACAATGTATCAAGCAAAAACATTTTAGGTATAACTTACTTTACGTATCATCGCAAGTAGTACACTAAACACAGGTCTACCCCTGAGATTATCACAAGATCCTGAGTCACCTGCGTCTATCAATTTCCTGCATGTTTCGTGGGATTGTCAATCCGGTTGGAGATTACACAACACTATGCTCTCTTCTGCCTGGGATGTATGACAAAATCAATACCAAGGGTAAATGTATATCATCAGCTCGTCACAATCTCGTGGACACGGACCTTTTTCGTTTAGGGAAGATTTTTATATACGTTTCAAAAAAAAAAATGTTTAAGAAATATATTTTTCGATAGTATTAAAATATTTATTACTTAAGTAGATTACAGTGATTCATAGAAGGCCCCCAACCATAGATATAGCTCTTGATCTTGAAGTATTGTGTGCGACGACATGACGGCGGCATCATCGTACGCCGGTATAACGGAAATTTAAAACAACACGTGCACCGATCGCGCCACCCGGCGTCACTCGATTTCCCCCACTGACCCAATACTCGACTTGTTTTGCAACAGATATACCAGGTTGATCCAAAAGTAATGATAATCGGTTACTTCAGGTCCGCATAAAAATCCAAAGAAAAATATTTTTTGCTAGCTTATATACTCACTACGTCAGCTTAAAAAAATCATATAAATAGATCACGATTTCCGGGAGATACATTCATTTGAATACGAACTGTCAAAGAGATAACATCAACATGGAGAAAAACGAAATTAGAGCTGTCATCAAGTACCTCTGTTTGAAAAAAATATCTTCAAAAGGCATACACAGTGACTTAGTGGAAACATTGGGGGACTCTGCTCCTTCATATTCTACAGTTGCACGCTGGGCTAAGGAGTTTAAACTGGGTAGAACATCCACTGAAGATGAACATCGCGAAGGACGCCCATCCACGTCCCTCATTGAAGACAACGTGAAAAAAGTCGAAGATGTTGTGTTGGCAGATCGAAGACTGACCATCAGGCAAGTAGCTGAGGTCACAGGGATCTCATATGGCAGCGTTCAAAGAATCCTTGCGAACGAGTTGCATATGAAAAAGGTCTCTGCGCGTTGGGTACCCAGAATGTTAACCGACGACCAAAAGAAAAATCGAGTTGACATTTCCAGGGTCAATCTCGAAAAGTTCCAAGAAGTCAAGAAAATTTTTTGCTCCGTTTTGTGACTATGGACGAAACTTGGATCCACTATTTTGATCCTGAAACGAAACAATAATCGATGACTTGGAAGCGAGCCTCCTCACCGATTCCAAAGAAATTCAAAGTTTTGAGTTCGGCGGGAAAGGTTATGGCATCTGTTTTTTGGGACGCTCAAGGCATAATTATGGTGGAATATTTGGAAAAGGGAGCCACTATTACGGGCTCTTACTACGCAGACCAAATAAGAAGATTACGGGAGGCCATTAAGGAAAAAAGACGCGGCAAACTGCGAGCTGGAGTGCTGTTTCACCAAGACAACGCACCGGCTCACAAGGCCGTAGTTGCGATGGCAGCCATTCAAGAAACGGGATTCGAACTGCTCGAACACTCTCCTTATTCGCCAGATCTAGCTCCTAGTGATTTCTACCTCTTTCCTCGGCTCAAGGAACGCCTCCAAAGCAAAAAATTCGAAGACGATAGCGAAGTAATGGCCGCTGTTGAAGCGTTTTGGGAGGTCAAGACAAAGAATTTCTTTCAAAGGGAATCCTGGGTTTAGAAAAAAGATGGACTAAATGTATTGATTTGTTAGGAGACTATGTAGAAAAATAAATTATTATTTCAACTTTAATTACCATGTTTTATTTTCATTATCATTACTTTTGGATCACCCTAAAACGACCGTACAGCAACGGAGCGGGACTGCGCCCCCTTTCTCTAAAGGGGGTCGCTTCCGATTCAGCAGAAAGGCCATACAGGCCAGTCCCACATGTGGTGTTTAGTGGGTAGGCACTTCATAATGAGTCCCACATAACCACGCAGCTGGCTGCGTGATATGCTATGAGCATTCACCACCTCCCTCCCCCGCTTTCGGAGGGTAACCTTGCATTAGGCATAAAAAAAGACTAAGGCGGGCTTGGTTGTACCAAGCCAGCTTGTCCTAGAAGTTCACGGATAATTACTTTGAAATAAATTATTATCATTAATTAGAAGTTTGTGGTGAAACTATCATCATTAATTAGAAGTTTCCGTGTAGTGGCGGTTAAGAATATCCACTACCCCATATCTTCCCGTGGGTGTCGTAAAAGGCGACAAAGGGAAACAGGCAGGAGATGGGCAGCAGCATCTTCCTGTTAACGGCAAAAATAAAATAAAAAACTGCGGTTGCCAACCCGCTCGCCAAGCGTGGCAACTATGGCAATATACCCCCCATAATGAAAGTTACGAAGAGACGGCCCCCAGTACCCGGCGGCCCCGTTATTCCTGGCTACGGTGGCGACCATGTTAACGGCGGGGCAGGGGGTGCTAAGAATCTCCGGTGGAGGTTCGGTTGCCACCTACGATGACTCGACCTGGCAACAGACAACGCACGCACCCTGAGGACTGACGAGAAGATCGTGGAGCTGGAAGAAGAGATAGACAAGTTACGCTGGCATATTATAGGATTATCCGAAGTCCGAAGAGAGGGGGAGGACACGGTAATCCTCGAATCCGGCAACTTGCTCTATTACCGGGAGGGCGACCATCTGTCCCAAGGAGGTGTCGGATTTATCGTCCACAAATCTCTCGTTAACAACGTTGTAAAGATTGAGAGTGTGTCGACGAGGGTTGCGTACCTTATATTCAGAATCACCAAACGGTATTCGCTGAAGGTCATACAGGTTAACGCATCAACCTCGGCACAACCCAATCAGGAGGTGGAGGAAATGTATGAGGATATCTCTAGAGCCATGCATTCCTCCAAAACCCAATATAAGGTGTTAATGGGAGACTTCAACGCAAAACTAAGCACAAGAGAGAACGGTGAGCTGAAAGTGGGAAAATTTAGAATAGGGCAACGGAATCCAAGGGGCCAGCAGCTGGCCGACTTCATGAAGAAAGAGAGACTCTTTATGATGAACTCTTTCTTCCAGAAGCGGCCCCACAGGAAGTGGACCTGGTCGAGTCCCGACGGTTCGACAAAAAATGAGATTGACTTCATTATGACGACCAGGCGACAACTGTTCAGTGATGTCTCGGTGATCGCGAGGGTGAAATCCGGCAGCGATCACCGACTGGTTAGAGGCACACTGAACCTAAACGTTAAGTTGGAGAGGTCTCGTCTAATGAAGTCAACGCTCCGTACCCCTCGTGCTCTAATCCAATGTCCCGATACCTTTCAGCTCGAGTTACTGAAAACTGTTTTCAGTGCCTAGAAGACTGCAATGAAGTGGACGATTTGAATGACAAGCTCGTGGAAACTGTCCATGCGGTCGGAGCTAAGTTCTGCAAGACCCGCCACAGAAGAACACAAAAACTCTCCGATCACACTCTTAATCTCATGGCTGTTAGACGGGAGATGAAGCTACATTCTTCAACAAATTTGACAGCATACAGGCAACTGAACAGACAGATCTCCAAATGCATGCGGCGGAACTTTCGCAACTTCAATACAGCTCGTATTGAAGAAACGATCGAGCGGAACCAAGGCTCCAAAGTCTTTGCCAGAGATCTGTCTGCCAGAAAGAGCCTGACCTGAGATTTTGAGTGAGATTGAGAGGTTCTATGGGCAGCTGTACATGTCATCGTTGGAGCCGCACGCAAGTGTGAGTAACGATCCAAGAGCGAGTCCTATCTGACATTATTCCGATGATATCCTGGATGTCAGTCTGAGTGAGATTAGAATGGCTCTCCAGCACCTTAAATACGGCAAGTCCCCAGGCGGGGATGGAATTACAGCGGAACTTCTAAAAGCGGGTGGAAAACCGGTACTTGAAGTCCTTCAGAGGCTCTTTAATTCCGTCCTTCATGATGGCATTACACCGGAGGCGTGGAGCAGAAGTACGGTGGTCTTGTTCTTCAAGAAAGGCGACAACGCTCTCTTGAAGAGCTACAGACCGATTTCCCTTCTGAGCCGCGTCTACGTGCTGTTTTCGAGAGTCATTACGAATCGTCTCGCGCGCATACTTGACGACTTCCAGCCTCCTGAACAAGCCGGTTTCTGAAAAGGCTTTACCACCATAGACCACATATGTGGACTATGAGAAATCCTTTGATTCCGTCGAAATTTGGGCGGTGCTGCAGTCCCTTTAGCGATGCCAAGTTGACTGTCGGTATATCGAAGTATTGAAGTGCTTGTATAGTAGGGCTACGATGGCTATCCGAGTACAGAACCAGAGTACGAAACCTATCCAATTGCAGAGAGGTGTAAGACAGGGTGACGTCATATCCCCGAAACTCTTTACCGCTGCATTGGAAGATGTTTTCAAGGTTCTGGACTGGAAAGGATACGGTATCAACATCAATATAAATATTTAGTTTTAAATTATTAATTGCATCAGGACACTTTTCATTTCACTTTCACCACAATCATCATCATCATTACAGCCCTTCACAAGTCCACTGCTGAACATAGGCCTCCCCCAAAGAATGCCACAAAGCACGGTCCTGAGCCACCTGCATCCATCGACTTCCTGCATATCTTACCAGGTCGTCACTCCATCTAGTGGGGGGACGCCCTACACTTCGCCTGCCGATACGAGGCTGCCACTCGAGAACCTTTCTTCCCCATCGGTTGTCGGTTCTTCGAGCTATATGGCCGGCCCATTGCCACTTTAGCTTACTAATCCGTTGGGCTATGTCGGTCACTCTAGTTCTACTGCGGATATCCTCGTTTCTGAGTTTATCACGCAGAGAAACTCCGAGCATAGCCCTCTCCATAGCTCGCTGAGCGACCTTGAGCTTCCTCATCCGGCCAGCAGTGAAGGACCACGTCTCAGTTCCGTATGTCATCACTGGCAACACGCACTGGGTGTACAGTCTCGTTTTCAAGTTTTGAGGTATACCTGACGAGAAGATGTGCCGTAATTTCCCGAACGCTGCCCAACCGAGTTGAATCCGTCGGTTGACCTCTCGGTCGAAGTTGGACTTACCTAGTCGGACTATTTGTCCCAGGTAAACATACTCGTCAACAACTTCGAGCCCAGTGTTCCCAACAACTACCGGCATAGGTGTGACATGGACATTAAACATGATCTTTGTTTTGTCCATGTTCATCTTAAGACCTATCCGTTGGGAAACACTATTGAGGTCATTAAGCATAGTGCTTAGGTCCTCCAGCGATTCTGCCATAAGGACTATGTCGTCGGCAAATCGAAGGTGAGTGATGTACTCGCCATTGATGTTGATACCGTATCCTTTCCAGTCCAGAAGCTTGAAAACATCTTCCAATGCAGCGGTAAAGAGTTTCGGGGATATGACGTCACCCTGTCTTACACCTCTCTGCAATTGGATAGGTTTCGTACTCTGGTTCTGTACTCGGATAGCCATCGTAGCCCTACTGTACAAGCACTTCAACACTTCGATATACCGACAGTCAACTTGGCATCGCTGAAGGGACTGCAGCACCGCCCAAATTTCGACGGAATCAAAGGCTTTCTCATAGTCCACATACGCCAGACATAGTGGCAAATTGTACTCCTCGGACTTCTGTACAATTTGCCGAAGGGTATGTATGTGATCTATGGTGCTAAAGCCTTTTCGGAAACCGGCTTGTTCGGGAGGCTGGAAGTCGTCAAGTCTGCGCGCGAGACGATTCGTAATGACTCTCGAAAACAGCACGTAGACGCGGCTCAGAAGGGAAATCGGTCTGTAGTTCTTCAAGAGAGCGTTGTCGCCTTTCTTGAAAAACAAGACCACCGCACTTCTGCTCCACGCCTCCGGTGTAATGCCACCATGGAGGACGGAATTAAAGAGCTTCTGAAGGACTTCAAGTACCGGTTTTCCACCCGCTTTCAGAAGCTCCGCTGTAATTCCATCCTCGCCTGGGGCCTTGCCGTTTTTAAGGTGCTGGAGAGCCATTCTAATCTCGCTCAGACTGACGTCCGGGATATCATCGGAATAATGTCGGATAAGACTCGCTCTTGGATCGTTACTCACACTTGCGTGCGGCTCCAACGCACGCAAGTGTGAGTAACGATAACGAGTGTGAGAAAAATAAATATTATGTTTATTTAAATATTTCTTAGTAAAAGAGCTTATTGCAGAGAAA